TCTTTCTTTGGCTTGTAACTCATCTTAATTCTTCATGTAGTGCTTTTTACAAGTACTGTAATTGGAATTGTTCTTAACAATGTATTTTAAATATGTTTTTAATATTTAAATGTGACTCATGTAAGGGATTTTATGATATTAAGTAGTATAGAAATATCACAAATAAATAAGCATTCATCTAACAGCCATGGATGGCAATGATGAGCAAGTGCATGGAATGCCACACAGATGAGTTAGCGCATTGGTATAAGAGAGATAGATTTCTCTGTCTTTCTTCCATAAGGATACTTCTCTGCTGAGAGAAGAAGGAAAGGCAGTGTCCATCATTAGTATCTAGCATGAAAGCTGGGAAGGGTTTGCTTGATCAAAGCAGCTTCATAAGATCAAGAGAGGAATCTGAAAGGTGTATATTCTCACTACCAGCTCTTCATGTTCATCATTTCAGACATTGTAGCTGAATCTCATCCAATATCCTTCCTCCCAAGACTTCCTCTTGAAGAAAGTCCAGGCACTGCTCCTGTGTTGACTTTGAGCTTCCTGCTAAATGCATCATACTTGCCCCTTAGCCCTTAGTAGTAGGCTACTAACTATTGTGGATTTAGTTACTAGGCTTCTCCCTCCCTCTGAAATGTTCTGATGACTTAAGACTAGATACTAGCATTCACATAAATTGAATTGTCAAAAGTTAGTGTTTATATTCAAATTTATCTTGGTTAATTTCTCCAAATAAGACCTATGGTTCAGAGTGATGACACTTAATCTTCTGGGAAACCTGATTCCCAAACATAAGCAGTGAGTTTAGTGACACAGTGCTGGCCTAACGGTCAGTGCAGGCTTTATCAATAGTTTATCAGCATCTCTCTGCCCTCTTTCTGATATGCTGATGGTTGGAGCAGAAGGCAGAGGATCAACCCACTAGGTGTCCTATTTCAGTCAGTGTACTATGAAAAGCTGTGTGCCTTTGTGATTTATTGTCTGTGCTGGATTGCCTATAAAGCATTTATCTTTCTTCCTTCTTTTCCCTAGAATTTATTTCATAATATATTTATTATATTTCTAATCCACTCAATGAACAATGTTCTCTGAGCTAAAAGACTAAAATGGCATAAACAAAATTACAAATATAAAATATGATACAAATATTGAACACAATAAAATATCGCCCACTCCCCACAATTCTCTTGCTCTAAAACAAACTGCTCAGGAATTTATAAAAGAGCCATAAAAATCTAGAGCTAGGTTTCTAAAATGCCTGGCAGAAAAGGAAGGTTTTTGCCTGGTGCAGCAAAAAAGTGGCAATATAGGTGCCAGGCAAACCTCTTTAGGATCTTTATCTTTATTTGGGGTGCTGCAACTGGACCTTAAAGTATGCCATGAGCTTTTGCTCCTCTCCTCACCCTATTTCTTGCTGACAGATTGAGAACAAGAATTGCCAGGTGAAACATTTGTGTTTTAATTAGTTTAGATACACTCAGGGTGGTGAGACAGATTGCCTTCTCTTGGCTGACTTAAGAGGATGTGACAGTCCTTGCCTTATATGAAGTCTGCAAGGCCTCCTGCCTGCCTTCTTAGCTCTGAGTTGTTCGCTTCCTGTCTTTCTTACTTGGTAGACTAGAAGTCAAACCACCCCAGGGTATCCGGGTGGGGTTCATACTTGTGGAATGACAGGGGGACCAACATAGCAAAGGATGGATAAGGTAGTGCAGTTTGTGAGTGTGTTAGCATTATTTGCATTAACTTGCCACTTGTTAGAATTTGCAAGAAACAAGAACTGGGTAGAGCATCCATGTCACCTTTACCAGATGGCAAGGGCAGGAACCCTTGGTGGAAGAAAAACTGGTCTAATAATTAATGTTGCTGTAGGAAACAATGCAATTTACATCTCCTACAGCAATTGTAAAAAACGACAATGGTCTGTTTAATTTAGAAGTAAGCTGTATGAAGAACATTGGTGCTTTAATATTAACTTAAATGGCATGAAACAAATTTGCCAGAAAGCTGCTCTCTGACTCTGCATTGTGCAGAAAAGGGGTGAGTAGATAGGCAAGTCCTGCTTCCAATGCTAATAACAAGGAAAAAATATTTCTCTCCATCTCTGTATCCTCCCTCTTTTGAGTCCTTCCAAATGGTATTATGTTCTAAACCATGAAACATATTCTATTAATTTATTTTCTTTGTTGCATTTTAGCTGGGGTTTTTTATCTGTTTTTTCCTCAGAGCAACCCTCTGAGGTAGGTTAGGCTGAGAGTTGGTAACTGTGTGAAGGTCAACCAGAAAGCCTCATGGCTGAATGAGAGATTGTATTTGGGGTCTGCCTGTTCCCTAGTCCAGCACTCAAAATGCAGCACTGTCCTGGCTCTACCTTTAGACTTTCTTCTTACAGAAGATCAATTTAGTCATGGTAGGGCACCATCCTATGTCTGTAGGGCTTTTTCTGTGCCTTCAGGGCTCCTATGTCTAATCCTATGTCTGCAGGGTATGTCTAATCATGCACAGAATTGTGCCTTTAGTTCCCTTTCTTGGTATTTTTTATGGCTTTGTGATAGCCTCCCTGTCATGGGGAGGACAGAAACAACCTTTTCCGCATTCCAAATGTGAGTTTACCACAAATCTATGTGGTATTTTAACATTTGCTGTTTTATTTTCAGTTTATTTCCCAATAATTCCAAATATTCTCCTCCAAACTTGTCAGTTTTTGCTGTCTTGACACACTGAGTTGATGCTTTCAACTATCTTTTGACTAAGACACTTCCACTCAAAACATCTTTCCTGGGTGATTACACTTCATTTATAGACCTGCTCAGCTTATCATGCTGTATATTCTACTTTGGATTTTTGTATTAATTAACTTTTTAAAAAAGACAATTTTATTAAGTCAGATTCCTAAAAAACAGAAAAGTCAATTGAAGGGTGAGGCTATGTCCAGGCTGGGTCTGCTAGAATAGGAGCAATCTGATGGCAGCAGCAGCCTCTGCTACTTCTAAATCAAAAGCAACCCTAATACAGTCAGGCTATATCATGCAACATATTTTGGTCCAGTCCTTCACAAGTGCTCTTCTTGTCTGAAGCAAGAGACAAATTGTGTTGTCTCACCCCATACACACTTCAGTGCACCCTCTCCCTCCCTTCCTCCCTCCCTCACTTTTGTTGTGCTCCGCAGCTAGACAAAGTGGCCTTCTGGCTCCCCATGATCTCATGAAACCTGTCCTGATTCGTGTGGGATCTTGCAAGACCATTCAGGCATTTTTGGGAAACATGTGGCCACCTCTTCTGGCAGCACAGCTCTCACAGAGATCAATACCAGCTAGTGGCTGCTCCAGACAACCCTGCAAGTTATAGCAAATACTGTGCTGAGTGTGACTGTCTAGGGCACCTGCCAGTAAAGGTGGCAGGCCCCTTGTTTGGGGTGGGGAGATGAGGGGAGGAGGATGGCACAATTTGATTCTTTTCTGGCTCTACTCTCTGAAGTGGGTGCACAAGCTTACATATTGATAGGGCTGTCCCTGACTCTCGTTTCCTGTTGAACAGGCTTCTATACTGATTATACTTCTTTCTTGTAGCCACAGCTTGATAGTGGTAGAAGAGCTGAGCACTTTTTGCTATGACGTATTCTCTTGTGGATTCACATCATGCCAGATTGTGGCATTTGATGTTTGATGACATCTAATTGCCAGGGAGACCTCTAAATGCAATCGTTTATTATTATTATTATTATTATTATTATTATTATTATTATTATAACATTTCTATGCCGCCCCTTGCCGAAACCTCGGGGCGGCTTACAACATGATAAAATACATTGAAATACAATAGTACATAATAAATTACCATTAAATATAAAAATACAAAAAAATACATTGATTTACAAATACAAAATTAAAATTATCAGTATAAAATAAAAATATAGGAGGAGAAAGAGAAGGAAGAAGAAGTTGCCCCAGCCAGATCATATGTTTTAACAATTGAAATGATGTTTAAATAAAAAGGTCTTTACCTGGCGCCGAAAAACCAGTAACGACGGTGCCAGGCGGACCTCTTTGGGGAGTGAATTCCATAGGTTGGGCGCCACCGCAGAGAAAGCCCTCCTCCGGGTACTTACTCTCCTAATTTCTTTCATGGAGGGTTCCTGGAGAAGGGACTCTCCCGTTTATTTGACGTTTGGGCAGGTTACCACTTTAGTGGATTTTGTTATCAAGAATGCTAAAATAGGTGAAGTACCAGATGACTGGAGAAGGGCTACTGTCTTTCTCATTAAAAGGGAAAAGTGAGGGAGATGACACCAATCCTTGGATAACATTCTACTATTTTATGATTCTAGGTTAATGCTTGCATTTGTTGTCTTAGCTGTACAGGCTCAAAGGAAATGTAATGGTGGCAGACACATTTGTTTAAGCTGGGTTGGCTCCAAGATCACAGAAAATTGGGGAGGGGGATATTCATTTCTCTCTACCCACCACATGCTTTCCCATAGCTCAGCCTTCCCTAACCTGGTGCCTTCTACATGTGCAGCTCCATCCACACTAGCACCAACTTTGGGAGGAACCTTGGTCAAAACACCGTAAATGGGCCCCTTCCTTCACTATGTTCTCACTGCTGCAGTCACCAGCTGCTGCTGTTGTTCCTCATTTTTCTCATCATTTTTGCTGCTTGCTTGATAGACAGAGGCAAGTGGGCCAGGAAGCTCACCACCTCACCATCACTACTGTTGTCCAGGAAAGGGGCAGATGTGAAAGTAGGTTGCAGTGGTGAAAAGGAGGAGCAAGTTCAGGGAACTCTCATTGGTGAGCTCCTGCTAGAATTAGGGTCATTGGCAAGTATCCAACCATGCTTACCTCTGAAATCAACCAGACTCCCTAATTCCCTATCAGCATGGCCAGTACACCTGGAGAGTGCCAGGTTGGTGAATGCTACTGGAGCTTCTTCCTCAAGTGCTTTCTTAGAGCTGAACTGTGAAAAGTCTGATTTTGGAGTTAGGTTGAAGACAAAAGTGCTGGGAATGCATGGGGACAGACTGTGAGGAACTGAGCTGCAGGTAAAGGGGATATTTAGCACATGTTTCTCGCACTTCTCTTGCTCTGCAGATAGTACCTTCTTGCTCCTTCTTCACAAATGGTAGGAACTGTTCTGGGATTAAACAAAGGTCTGCCTCCATTACATCCAGTTTGGTCATAAGATAAGACACATATTGAAGATAATTCTGTTCAGAAATGTCAGGCTTTTTAAAAGCACAACAAAAAAACAGCTCACCCTTGTCAATGTTTTTTAACTTGTTCTCACTTACTCTGGAAATGGGGATATTGAACAAGTCTGAAGTGACACTCCTGAATTAATTTACTATGTCTGTGAAAAATTCCATAATCTTAATTCAATTACTTTTTGATTTTGTTTTTAGGTTAACAAAGCCATTATCCTTTGCAGACTGTGTTGGAGATGAGCTACCATGGGGATGGGAAGCTGCATACGATCCTCAGATTGGTGTCTACTATATCGACCACATAAACCGTAAGTGTTTTCTCTAAGTGCTGTATTGATTATATAAGAAGGCTTAGCCAGATTAGACTCTGTTGTTAGACTCTTAACAAGGACTTGAAAAGATTTCTTATGAGACAGTTAAAACTCCCCACAGCAATTCTCTTCATTTATTTTCATAGAAAGAGGCCTGGTGTCTAGCACCACTGTTTCTCCCCCACTACCTACTTTTTTTTTTTTTTTTTGGTATGACTCTTGTATCCTGTCAGTGAAGGACACTTAAAATTGTGGTTCTCATAACAGAGTTCAAAATTTCACAGGATTGCCTGCTAACTTTGGATCTCTGTTTTACTTTTTTAAAACATTACAGCTTTTGATATATGCAAATATAAGGGATAACTTTCCAACTTTGCCAGCAATTAAAATTTTAGTTAGTCCCAGACTGCTAAAAGACCAACATAAAGTCCAAGAGGTGCTCGAATGCAGTCAAATAATTGTGTACATAAAATACTTCATTCAAGTTAAATATTATTCTCTCTATTTACAAGGTTTGGGCACTGAGTGCTGTTATATACATAGCCAAGGCAGCGGCAATCATACCAAAAAGGGAAGGCATCAGCAGACATGAGAAAATCACAAGATTTACAGAATGCAAAAAGTATCTCTGGATGGAGAGGGGAATTCTACAAACTGCCCAGTGAGAATCAAACATGTTCCATAACAATGGGATACTGAATAATTCTTGATGGAGGGTGGAATGCAGCTGAATGGCTACAATCTTGAACAGCAGCACTAAACAATCTTGAACTAACAGCACAAACATTTGTTCTGCTTATATATTCATAATTAATTTAATGTTTTGTCTTCTAAATCAGGACATCCTCAAAAAGAGCGTGAGCAGTCATGGACCAGCTTCCTTGGAAGCTGGTTTCTTCACAGCTTTCAGGCTTCTCCTGTGATGCACAGTCACAGGAGAATATTGGGAAAATTCTAAGATGCATGCTGTGCTCATATGGAAATGTGATTGGTCCCAGTAGACCCAGTCAGCATCCCTTGTGGCTTGTTTGTCTAACCCAGGACATGACCCAGAATCCTCTACAGTATAGAGGGGTTTCTCAGTTGAAAAGTTGAGGCTTAGAATCTAGATGCGGTACACTCAGTAAAGCCACTTGTGAATATGAAAAAGGTTCTCTGAGTATAACAGCATTGACAGCCACTGATTTAATGACAGACAAGGGTCTAATAAAGCATAGAAATCTCAGCCGCTGTTTCCTAGGGGAAGTAATATAACCCAAGATCAAACAGATCCTTGCTGTTAAGTAAAAGGCAGTGTGTAATATAATTCAAAGTAATTCAGAAATAAAAATGTAATGCTTACAAGAGCAACAGCTAGGTAAAATGCATTGTTATGGTCAAGTGCGTTACTTCTGACTTCAGCCATACATTTACACTAGAGCACTGTAAAGTTTAGGCAATTGCTTACTACTTCTCTCTCATTTTAAGCATTTCTGTTTTCAAAGATATTACTGATTCAAATAGTGTGATCAGCTCAATCTTCTTTGAACTATCTAAAAGGTATACTTTGAGTCCTTTTAGAGAATAATCCTATGTTCTTTTCTATGCTATGTCAACTCTTCCTGGCAGGGCAGAGATCAAAAGGGAGGTGAGTGGAAGAAAATCATTCCTCTTCTATCCATGAGTAGAAGAAAAATAATTCCCTTCCAATACTGGCAACATGCTGGAAATTTTAGCACGTCTAAATGTTTTCTTGGGTCAGGAGTGTGATTGGGAACTGGCAGGGCTTAGGTTCCTTTGGATCCTTGCCCAATCCTTCTCCACTTACTCTACATTTCCAACCTTGTAGAGGGAGCCACAGTGAAAACCTCTGGTAGTGGCAGGGAAGAGTCAAAATGAGGACTGCAATATTGAGAAAACCTGTCTGAATTTGAAACTGTCTACACCCTTGGAGGACTTTCCTATATAATCTTGTGACCCCTGTGGGATGGCTATGGACCATAAGAGAAAGTCAGTTTAAAACATTTTAATAACACAATTCAGTCTTATGTCAAAATGAAATTGGTCTCCAAGGGACCATAATAATTCTTGCAATTTTAAAAAATAATGTGCCAACAGAAAAAGGTCAGTCACTTGAGTGAGTTATGCTAATTTCTAATACAATTGATACATGTTGGGAAGTGATTTACTAAACAGTAATGATTCATTTAAAGAGACTGATATAGAGGAAGGGAGCTGTAAACCAGTTAGTGATTGTTGCTCCAGAACCATGGATCAGAGCTGACCCTAGGAGGAAAAAGATTAAAATTGTATTAAACCAGATGCCATAAAAATACATGGGTTTTTAAAAATAGTACTAAAAGGCCAGAATTACTGACTTCAAGCTTATTGCCTGAGCAAACAAACAAGATACGGGCTACGCCTGTAGCAAATATATAACAAACCTGTGACAGCTTCTTTGGAATTTGGTTGCACGACAAGATCTTTCAGAACATAAGATAATACAAATATTTGTAGTGAATTGACCCCTCACCTGCTGTGGAGTTTTGTGTGTGGTGTGTGTGGGGGTGTTATGTAAATGTGTTTTGCAGAGGGTGGGAGAATTGGGTGTGCTTTTGTTTAAACTGGTTTTTCCTCATTGTTTGAGACTGAGGAATCAGGCACTTAATGCTCTCTTGGTGGTATAATAATCCGTATTGACATGGCAATTTTGGTGAAATTTTTCTGGAGTGCAGTAAACATCAGGTACAGTGGACAGAAGAGCTGGTGTTCTGAAGAGAGCATTCTTTGTTCAAATTACTGGAAGGTAAGCTGCCTGTGATAAGGGTCAGAGGCAGGTCATTTGTCTTACATGCTAAAGCTGAGATTATAGCTTTTAATTCACCTGACTGGAATGCAATGGTCTGATAATTGTGAACTGCAGCCACAGGATTTTTTTAAAAGTTACACTAACTTTTAACTGCAGAAATGGGAAATTGAGGGTGGAGCTGTTTGTATACAATATCAGCTGTGTGAGAGTGTAGATGATGCATTCACACTACATGACTGCCATAGTATTGGTCTTTGTGCTATTTCAGATAAAGCTCCCTTATGTTTTTTGATACATAAACACTTTGCTCTGCAACACAACTGCTTGCAATGCACTCATTCCAAATGCTGTTATATGGACCAGGAAGGAGAGTTTTGCACATCAACCATTTCTATGTCATCTGCATTCTTTTATGAGAGGTGAGGAGGCACTGGCTAAGATTATGAGTTTTCATCCATAACATCCCTTGCTCAAATGCTGCCTCAGCCATTCATTCATTAGGAAGTCTTGCCAGGTTACCATTACTTTCAGCCTCAGTCCTCATCTGCAGTATGGAAGTGATTCCACTGACTTGCCTCACAGGTCAACATCTAACAGCTGGATTTTATTTTTTTAAAAATGTAAGAGCTATATGTGTCTTAATGTGTAAAACTGATACCTGCTTAGACAAAAATGGGTTTATAACTCCCAGAAGGGTAGGTAGGGCATGCTGGGAGTTGTACACCTTTTTTCCCTTAAAAATGTATAGGATTGCACCCTTGGAGTTTATTCTATGCAGTGGTCTTGGAGGCATTGAAAGCGGAAACCATTACATCCTCTGCAGATTTCAGGGTGAACGTTTCTAATCCTTCCTCCTCCATTATCATCTTAAGGCACTTAGCAAGCAGAGTCTTCCTGACTACAACAGCTAGTCAACTTTCTGCTCCTCTTCCTGCCTTCTACAAAACTGTTTTTGCAACATCTTTCTAGATTCAAAGTTCTCAAAATATAGCAGTTTTGTGATCTTCAGGTTGGCCTTAAAAGCACTCTGCAACCTGGTACACTTCAGATGCTTTAGACTACCATTCCTAGCAGTGGTGACAATTGGTCATGCTGCCAGGGGCTGATGGGAGTTGGTCCATAGCAGTTGGAAGCCACTAGGGTGGGGGTAGGTAGTATTATATGAATTTGGAATTGTTCTTATGGCCAATACAGCTGCCTTAGGTTTTTGCTTCACAGGGTATTTCTAAGGATTTCTGGGATACCTTCTGAGTGCTGAACAGCCTCAAATATGATATAAATAAAGCCTAAGTATTATTGTTACACTCATAAGAATCTCAAACTGTTGTTTTAAAGCTTTATTCTTCTAGTCCTTCCACAGAGTTGATTTTTAAGTTGTGATGATAGCTGGACTTGATCCTGCTACCTCCTTTTTACTTTTAGTCACAGTTCAGTAGATAGGAGCTGCATATCAGTAGTGCTGCCTTGATAGTGCCCGATTTGCCTTGTGGATTTGGGATTGGAGACTTAAGACCAATTAAGCAGCAGCAGCCTTGGTTCTTTTTTTAATGTTCTAAAAGCTTACTGAAAAGTTGCCTTTGGGCTTTTCACAGCTGAGGTTAATTATTCTAGAATGACAACACTATTATAAAAAAGGGCAGCATGCTTACCAATGTTAACTTCTTCATACAAGAGCATCAATAATAATAATATTAATAGTAATAGTAGTAGTAGTAGTAGTAGTAGTAGTAATTTCTTATTTTCCCAATATCTTTATCTAGACTCTTGACCAAAATGGAAGAGAACATTCTCTCTGTGTGTAAATGCAGGAGTGTGTGTGCATATATATTCTGTATATATTTTCAGATGTGTTTGAGAGGTGGCACAGTTGCAATAACAGTTGACTGTTAATTGGTTGGATCTGGTCTAGAATCAGACTCATTATTGCCATTATGTCTGATGTCCCAAAGGGACTGTTTATCCATCCATCCAAAATTATTTCTAGGTCAGCTTTAATGGTAGAACCCTCTGTAGTCTACAGATGGGTTGGATATCCCTGCAGGGGGGCAGTGGGAGGCCTAGAACTAGAATATCTTTGGGAGATAATGGCCTTTAGTTGTAGCCCAAGAGGTGTGGAATCCAGCGGGGGCACCACACATCCTTTTCAAAGGAGGCTTCATCAGGGTTCCACATTGATTCCTGGTGGGTTCTGGCATCAGAGATTCCTATG